TAATCCACCTCCTCGGCCGTCAGCCACTGTGATGTGGATCGCAGTACCCGTCTTAAGACATCTACATTCTCCAGATCTATTCTATGGCCTGTGGCTAACAAATGTTTCATCATCGCTGAGTCCTTGATCAGCGCTTGGTATTCTTCAGCATGGTGGTTTGCTTGTCCTTCTCTTACGCCCGCTCATTCTGATGTACAGTTCCCTGGTTGTTTGTTCTACGCTGCATTTAATTTCATACACAGTTCTAAGTCATTTCAACGAAGAGGGGATCTTTCAAGTGCACAAAAACTGAGCGTAATGTATTTTCCTTCTCGAGCGCTACTCGAAAGTTGGCAATGTTTAGTTTCCGGCGTTCCTGCTTCATATGTAATGACTTCTGTGGCAATCTATTCCCTACTGGGTTTTGATACCGGGGTCAATATACTTCCCAAATGCTGTCTAATCAAACTCAATGAGTAGCTTATTTCTTGAAGTCTGTTGGTAAACTCGATCTGAGCCACTGTTTGGTTGATTTCCTCTGTGCAAGGTGTCTTGACTCAGCTAACTTCTGATGAGGCACTACTGTTGTACACTGGTTTTGGGTATTCTGATGGGTAGTTTAAACTGTTCCGTTGATCTGTCGCTTTCTGGTAAATTTTTTAAAAGTTTTTTCGCCCCACTATTACGTTTCGTACAGACCGGGAAGGATAGAGTGCCCGAGATGTACCCCATCTATATGCTAAATTTCACGAAGTCTGACTGACGTCAAAAACTATCGACAGATGATGCTATTTTCCAAGGCCATTTTCGAAAACCTCATTGAAACCAGCAGCTAAAAACTGGGAATATTGGTGATCACATTGTAATGCCTTATTCTTGTGAGTAAACAGCTGTGTCAAAAGAGAACTGGTCCATATTCAAACTCACTCTTCTGTCCTCAGCTTTTCATCCACAGAGAGCTGTATCCGATTCTTGAATGTCTTTCCTATCAGTAATAACCTCTTGGTTACCTCCAAAGCATCTGTCCTGGTTGTTTGCGTACAGTGAGATGACGTCAAGTCTCACGCTGTCTTCATCTATCTCCAAAGCCAATCGTGAAACTTCATTGGCAAAGCCATGCGAATTGCTAATTAAGGTGTTTGACTTCCCCAAAAGCAGTTTCAATTTACCGAACGAGAATCTGGTTCTCTCATGTGGGAACAACAATTGCGGATTTTTAGCAGTCCGTACAGTTGTCGTTGAATATTACTCTTTAGATGCAACCGATACTACTGCTAAGCACTAAATTGTTTATAATGGATCTTCGGTGTCTAGCAACTTCAAGTTTACTTTCATTCATTATTCAACAGTATTGAACAGTACTTGTCGGTAGGCTCCATCGGTGGGGTGCTGTTTGTCCTTCCAAAGATAGTCACTGTTGTGGCTTTATCTGCCTTCATAACGACAATACTATCAACCTCTCTTAGTGCGTACAACGTTCTCTGCTCTGATGGTGCAATATTCAGAGTTCCCGGTCGTTGGGATTTTAAGACCGTGACCAATTGTACCCTGAACTCCTCAGCAGCTGCTGAGGGAAGCTTTTGAAACGCCGATTCGATACTATGGATTATTTCCTCCTCTGCAATTGCTTCTTTTCTCACAGCGAAGTTTGGTCCCTTTTCTAACAAATAGCGCTCTTCCTTACTCGGTGGTCTATCCCACAAGTTAATTACATTACAGTATTTGGTAAATGATTTCATTTTTTTCTGTAACCTTATTACAGCACTCAGTCATGGAAAGTAGTTGTCTATCCTTACATTGCCGGCCTTGCGTAAGTATCACCTATGTGGCTACTGCAATAAGCATCTGGAATTCAGTGGGTAAGATTAAAACGAGAGATTCAGCTGGGTTCCAGGTGAATCTCTCGCAAAGCCAAATTAGCTTGCAAATGAGTATACTTCGCTAATTTCGTGCAATTGGATTTCAAGTAGAGCATAAGGTTGACGGAAACTCGGGGACTGCGCCTACCTGATGACCCACAAGAATGGCGAAACCGGCCGTGGGCTGTCGAGGAGTTTTCAGCAACCTTATGAGTGGTGCATTACAAAAATAGATATTCGGAGTAGCTAGGTGGTTTTCTTGAGACGAAATCACTTACACAGCTAATAAAATCTCTTCAACAGGCCCGTTTGGTCCTTCCTTGGTGTCGGCAGGTAGCGATCGTTCTCGAGTACCCATGAACCTCTTTTACAACTTGCACAGCAACTTATGGACTCATTTGCAAAAGATTCTTGTGTTAACAGAAGGCTCAACTGAATCCCAGCGGAATCCACACGTTATGCTATTCCTCACGACTACGCTGCACAAGGGCCTCGTTTGTTCGAGAAACTCAAGCCCTCGAAGGATTTTTCTCCAAAACAACACGCTGGCCAGTCCAGTAAAAACTTCCGTAGAGCTATACGAATTTTCTTGTGAACAGTGTGCTTGGGTAACGTATGACCTGTTTCTCAACTTTGACAACGAGAATACTGCTAAAAATAAGAATGTTTGGCCGAAAAAAATCGCTGCTAATCTTAGAATATCCGGTAAACATTGAGCTATAGGTTTGAAATACTACCGCGCTTCATGTCAAATTAAGTCAGATACCAAAAAGGCACACTGTGCGAGGCCCCCTTATACCATTAGATTCTGCGTATTTCTCGTGCAGGAGTGTAATTTTTTCTGATAACCCCGCAAAAAATGAGTCATTTGCTCCTCAAATTCTTTGGTATGCGCAGTACACAAGTGGGGGGGGGCGCCACAAGTGACGTTCACAACTACCAAGCTACTTTTTGAACATTTTGAAAAGGCAGGATATCATCCACCCAGCGATGTACGACTTGACCCCTGTAACAAGATACCACCCCACACAGTTACTTGTGTCGCGACCAGAGGGACCACAGTTCGTATCTGACTAGACGGCACCAACAAATCAGTCTAATCTTGTCCATTTCAGGTTCCGTTTAATCGACGGAGCAGCTATCAGTAAGCAGAATTAGGCAACGCCTAAACCCAAAATATCATACACGACAGTAATCCAATCACCATAAACTTGTTGCCTCATGAAGTAGCTGTAAGATTCAGTAACTTTGACCAGTAGAGCAGTATGAATCTGACAACGGTGTGCTGCAGAATGAAGCAAATGTCGGTGGTATGGTGGCTGATTTCTCCGAAGAACTGGACTCACTGAGGACCATGCCACCAGACTATAGGGTAAAGCCATGTTCGCTGGTGTGTTGAACCACCAATTGCCGTTTTCGTGCGCCGCTACGGAGCCATAAACCTGTTCCGGAGAGCCGGGAAGGCAAAAGAGCCTTGCCAGTACCCGAAAATATATGCACTAATCTCCAAAGCCGCGCTGGGTTTATAATTTGGTGAGTTACCCTGGGGAGATCATTAAATGGATCGATGAGGAGTGGGCACTTCTGGGAGGTGGTCTGTTCAACCGAAAACCGACGATAAAAGATAAAAATGTCTTGAAAAAGCGGGTTTCCGATACTTTTACATACAAATCCAAATGACGTACCTATGCAGACAGGCCCATGTTGCCATCACTTTGAAATGCTCCATCAGCGTCATCACAGTAGCTTTCACGTCATCGTTATTGTCTAACTGGTCATGTACGTCCTCTGTTGCCGATAAATTTGATGACTTCAAAGGAACGATCCAGTTTCCTGAATGTCAAATCCGGAGATCGTCTGAGAAGCACCACAAACTAACACAGCTTCATGCCTGTCTGGTGAAGACGTGTTTGGATCCCAAAAACTACATTCATAAAAGATTCACCCGGTGTACTGATGAAACCGGTCGAGGATGGGAGACCCATTACTCCTCAGGTTAACATATGGATGTTCTAGGGAAGGTCCGTGACATGTTAAATAGGTAACCTGACTACCTCAGAGTAGTCGAATTGCCCCAATTTAACTGCAAGCGGATAGTATGATTACCTAATCTCCAACTGTGTAGCGCAAGCAAGACACACGTTGCAGTGACAAATGTTCACTGGATCTGTTGGATTTGGGAGAGGACACGTGTTCATGGTCCTGCAGGATGCGAGAACACTATGGTTAATTCGATTGAATTCTACTCAAAATACCCCCCAATCTGTCTTCACGTGAGTTCCATCAGGGTGCGGTTTGAGCTGCCGATGGATTTCTTTTTCCACCGTCCCACCCTCCAACTAACAAGGTGTATATGAAGTGGAATGAGCACAGACTTCCAACTTTCTTGGACCAGGTCAGACGATTCAAGTGTTTCTATCCATCAGTAACCAACCAAGGGGAAAGCACTTTATCCACCAATAAGGTCTCTTGTGGAAGAGCAACAGGAATCTGAGCAATATAATCCAATGAATGCTGAGGAACGGAAGGTAGGAAATCCATTCCGTATGCAAGCACAAACAAGTCTGCGATCCTACGCTTCGTTTGAATATATCTGTCGGACCGCCCTGACGAACGGGCGAGCCACACAAACGCTAGGAAAATGTACATAGGACACCCAAAATTAGTATGAACATGTACGTTAGCAGCGTGTTTCCGCAGCGGGCTGAAACGGTATATGACCAAAATCCACACAGAAGGGTAGATCGAAACGTGCCCTCCAATCAAACACTCCAGCCCTGGTTACTGTAAACCCCTTTGTCTTTACGTCTAACTGCACTTTCCATCAAAGTGTGAATCAAGTCGAAGAAGCAGTGCGACCAAGCGGAACGACAGGACTGCGGTCGTTGGATACCATACTTCATCTAGTCCAGTATCGCATACAACCTCGAAAGACACGTAGCGTTGCGGATGCTCCATCTGTACAACGCACCGACGTTCAAGTCTAACGCATTTTTTGGGCGCAACAAGGACAAATTTTACGGAAGTGCACATTGAGTGAGGAGTAATTCCAAGGCATAGCTTTAGCAGGTCGAGCAAAAACAATTACGCTAAAATTGCTTCAAAGCTGTTTCGAGCCTGTAAGCCAGTTCCGAGTGTATACCGGTGGTTGATAAATGCATTGTCTTTGACAATTTGTATATTACCATCAAAAATGCACCTGCTGCTACAAAAGGCAAGTACACTGAGACGGCTTTACACCCTCCCATGAAGGAACGTTTTTCACGCTGGGACATTTCAGGTATTTCCTAGCAATGTTACTTTGAAAACGAAAGTTGTTGTATCTGGTCAAAAAATGGAGTTTCATTGTTTGTTTTTGTCAAATCTTCAGATTATAACTGCATCGGTACAAGCCAGCTCTTCAGGAAGACGATGGTAAAGAACACAAAGGCATGATATGAGGGGAAAACATCTGATAGGAAGGCTTATTAGAGAAATGATAAATTGAAGTGTAAGTTGTCGGTAGAAAAAGGAACAGAACTAAACTTAAAGCGCCAAACGCCGTTTCATATACAACTGGCGAGCTCTACTTCCGGAACACTCGAGGATGAGATTAAGTTGATCACAGATTGCTCGGGCACGTGACCACTGAGTTTCAAAACACAAATGCTGGAAAGACGGGACCACATCCGAGGTGCCGATAGCGGAAGGAAGTGATGAGGAACGATGAGTACCACCAACTGAAAGGGTTCCAGTTGACGAGGTAGTGTCAGCAGTCGCCGTTTCCGGCTGGCTCTGTGAAGATGAGAGAAACATATCTGGAAAGATTCACATGTGTGATAGACCCTAAAGTAAAGGCTAGAAATGAGCACGTGTTCAGACGATGACAGAAAAGGTAGTGTCAACCGAATCAGACCCCATCTGAACATAGACCCACCATCTGCGACTTAGGAACGTGTCAAACGGAACTAGACGCCGGCTCAAGGTACCAGTAACCAATTTGAAAAACACCTGCATTGCAATAACATTACAAATGCCCCTGGAGGAATCACCTAAAAGGACCAATCAAAAGTGGTCTCCTCTGAGGAAGTTCAGAAAATCAATATCTGCGTCAAAAGATACAACAAAAGTAGATTCATTAGAAATGTCAAACTTTTGGGCTGGTTATGCAGAGCTAAGCCCCAATGCGAGGAGTTCCATACTCCATAATCTGCACACGGACAGGGTGGAATCGATATTCACATTAGGTAAGGTACGGCATGTGTACAAACGTGTTCATTCAGCAGTATGTATAGGTAAGGTACGGCATGTGTACAAACGTGCTTTGATACAGCATTCAACAGCGCATGTATGTGGGGGAATGTATCCAGCGCTTAGTTTGGATCAACAATAAAAATGCAGCTTCTACTCTTTGAAGGGGGGACCTACCGGAAAAAGCCACTTCTAGCTGGTATCCTGAGGCATCTTCCGGCGGTTATTGTTCTCTCGTGAATGTGTTACGGTGCGCGGAGATTGTGTGATGATTGAGTGTATACGAAGACAAGGAATCAGGCATCAGTGATAAAGGGCAAAAAAGTCGAAGGAAACAGGTGAGTGGTTTCACTGAACCTTAACGTATAATGTTTGCTAAATTAAACCGCCCAAGCAAACCGAGGCGAGTTAAACATCATCACGATCTAACTTTGGTCAACTCAGCTTCATTAGCCTTATCGATCGATCCACCACCGAATCCAATCTTCCGGAGCGGAAACTGATCGTCCGGTGTCGCAGAAACATTCAGTATTACTTTAGGGATGTGGGACGCTTCTACTGGTGACATGCGAGAATGGCGACTTGAATCGACCACACCTGGAAATTACATAAAACCGCCGCTACTAAACAACAATTCAGTAGCGTAAAATTAGATAGCGCTTGGATCCAACTAGGAGCTGAATGCCAGCATTGTGCCCAAGGACTTTTGCAATGATGGCACATTTGATGAGAAAGTGACGAAACCCACCAGGTAGATTATCTTCAACTGAACTTTTTTCGTCACATAGTTCGGTGTGGACGGTGGCTCAGACGGCGGGGGGTCATGAGCAGTCCCCGTCGTCCTTGGGGCGGCGGAAGTACTGCTACTTTCGGTGTTGGACGCACGAGCAGGTGTCTCAATTTCACAATCGGCTAAGGTATGTACTCCGTAGACAATGGTCTTGAACTTGGAGAACAATTTGCGCCGCCGGGAAGTGGCAGCTTGTTCCACTTTTATTCCGTTTGAGGAAACATCTGCCACAGGAATCGAAAGAAAAGATCAGTGGTGATGTCACGGATTGACAGAAGTTTATGAAGAACTAACAGCAGTGGCAAGGCAAATCGTAAGTCTATGGTTTAACTGGGAGACGCATAAAATCAGACTTCAGTCATGTGGACCGATGTACTGCACCACAAACGCTTACGAGGGACCAACAAGAAATTGATTTCTCAAAGAGAACAAAATAACAAGCTCAGTTAAAAATTTCCGCACGCTACAGAAGACACAGTAGGGGCGAGTTTTTGGGACGGTTCGTACTCGTCACTAAACTTATTACCATCAGAACAGCCTAATAAGGTCAATCCCACGGAGAGGCGATTGCTCAAGATCCACAGACAGCCCACTACCGGTTTCGCCTAACTTTTGGCTCACCATCAACGAAATCTCCAAGTGGTCTCTGTGCTACCGAAAAAAAACATCAATGGGCTACCGACCACGAGGGATTTCATCGAGTCTCCGTTCCCAGTACCTTCAAAATGCATACAAACTCAAAGAGTGAACGTTCAACCGAAATGACCAACGGCACCTAAACTTTTCGTATCATCCATCATTTCTTTCTGCCAAGTTAAATTGTGCCCACCTCTAAGTTTCCGCCAATCCAAACTGGGCACGGAAAATAGCGCTCGACAGTGGCTCCACACACGTAACACATGACCAAGCCACCTTGGCTTGCAGTGCTGGATACATTCTTTGAGTGGGGTGCCGTCTGCTTCACCAAAAACACATCCATCTTCTGATAGCGAATTCGCCGGTTCCAGCCGATCCCATCTACAGTTCTGAGACATCGGTGGCCAACCATAATCACAGGCAGACACAACCACTCGTGTTAAGATACGTTGGGCAAACATCAAACAAACACATAAGTGAAGGTTGATAACCTTCACAATCCGTGATGAGTTTCAGATAGGAACTGAAAATGTCTGTTCACGATGCCCGAAGTCAGTAAAAGTACTAGCATGATAGCTTTGCAAACGAGCCGTTCCAACTTACTGCATTCCAGAAAGGTTGTTAGCATATACGGTAAGTCAGTGGCGCACAAGTGGGGCAGCATTCTTATGAGAAAGCCAATCTATGGTAAAGGAATTTTCCAAAATCAGCAGTAAAGTCCAAAGGAGTCACGAACTGTTGCGAGGCAACAAGTTCTGCCTTTCTTCCATTCATGTACAATAACACATTTGTTAACTTCGTTTTACCGGGGGTCTGTACTTGTCAGCTGCAATGCATAGTGAAAAGCCAGAAGATTGCACCACTCGTTCGTGTTGTGCATCCTTCAAGCCAGTGCATCTCACGGGACACCACACGACTATAACGTTCTGTAACAACTAACGATATCGTTTTCCCGTAAATCGTATTCGTTATCTGGTCATCTTCCAGCAGTTTCTGAAAACCAGAATTCTGATTGAAGATGGTGATTTGATGGTCCCATGACCTACTGTCATTAGTCAGGCGAATTGAAATCGCTGCAAGCTAGCCCTTGATAGCGACGACGGTACCGGAGCGTTCCCAGAGTCATGTCAAGCGTCGCCCCGCAGCCAGTTAGCCATCCGAATCGGAACTGCTTGTCCAAACGAAGCAGCCAGAGACGTCCAATAACTGATCGCTTTTTCCTTGCAGGTCTGTAAAAGCCTTTGCACACGAAATACGTGAGCACCTGACTCCCACAGCGTTATCGGACTTCTGAAACTATGGCTCGTAAAAGTGGTGCGAAACTGTGGTGTGGCTCTAATGTCATCCGTTCCTACCATCGGCGCGTCGTCTTCAAGAAATTTCCGCAATGGTAGTTTAGGGAAGTTGGTTACATCTATCTGCATGGTGCTAGCAGATGAGAACTGTCGTTTTCTCCAACTGTAGCGTCCAAAAGCTAGAATACCACCACTTCTGATAGTTTGTTTCGCATTTGCGACACATGTTCGATCACCAAATTATTCGGACGCCCGTATCAGATCACCTGAATTTCCGACTCCTTCATAATCGATGTGAGCTAAATAGCGTCGTTCATGTATTTTGTTACTATCCCATACTATACCAATAGTATCAACGATAATCGGCTTTTCGAGAAACAACGTACAATTACGAAACTAGTCACTCCAGTAAGTGCTCTAGGACCCACCTAAGTTGTTCCGACAAACTGGTAGATTATTCTCACTTCGTTCCACGGAGGCCATTCGTTCAGCTGTAGCACCCTTCCGGTGCCTAGCTGCCATGCCACCCGAAGGAAGCACGAGGGCTAAGATACTGCCAGGTTGTCCAAGTCTAGACAGGGGAAGTCGAAAGGCAAAGGTCAGGTTCGAACCACGGACCTTCCGGTCAGTAAATTCGCGCTCTAACCACTTGGGTCATCCCGCGGGCCATCATTCGGAGTCGGCACCCCGTAAGTGATTACAGAGCCACCTGGCTTGTGTACCTATCACCCACTCTTGTTGACTGAATAAAAAGTCCATCACCAAACAACAAATCGGGTGACTAGCACGGTTAGGACCACAAAGCTGTAAACTTCAGACGTGATTAGCTGTAATACCTAGGTATTCTCAATCTATCGATCGATCGAGTATCACGCTGAACACTTGCACGGCTATGTACAAAGAATGATTACTTCATGCCATATATTACCTAAATATATAAATGGGAAGTATTAGATCGGATGCAAGGAATGGGAACTCAAATCATATTATACCTAGAATGCTGTTCGAATGAACTGCTTGAATGGGGCACTCACTAATCAGTAACACTCACGTAATTGCACCTCACGGGAATACGAGCCCTTCAGAAGAGTAACACTGTACTGTCTGAGTTTGAGAGCTGCATCGCACTGCACAGACGACACACGAGCGGCTTTCGAGTAGCCAGTGCCTGGTGAACCTTCATCGTCAGAGGAATCGACCATCGCCGCAGCGCTGCGACCTGAAAAAAAATGAAAACGGTCACAAACCGAACCAGATGTTTTGTACGAAAGAAACAATGCACCAGTTTCCTTTACGAATCCGAACAGATGCAAAAGGAACTGTTTGCGCAGAATAGTACCGATGTGTGCATCACATACGTACACGTACGTACGTAATGAAAGGACAAACACACAGGTCAATATGCAACATTCAAATTCTATTATGTGCTGTTGATCCAGGTCATGCTTATTAATTGGACACACCTGGAAACACCAGTCTTTCAGCAAGTTGTGTTGTTTTCAGCCCCAAACGAGCCACAGCTCCGCAGCTCGTTAGCAAAAGCTAGAATTCGTTTATTGACCTTTCATGAAGCTTTGATGACCATGGGATTTATGCCAGGCATTTGTTCTCAGAATGACCTGGGTCAGACGCTACTTCTATTCTGGATCACGTGACTTAATTCTGAGAAATATGCTAAAATTTGACCTTTGAACTCTCAATACGGATGTATGCGCTCTTCCATTCGTTAACAATGCGTGCGTAGGCGAGTTGACATGAGCGTTTGGTATGATACGATAAGACAAACTTCTCTCCGGATCGATACTACAACTATGGAGAAAAACGCCCCGAATCGTCCGCAAATAATACAATGAAGGGAACTGCATACTTAAGTGAACATTCAACAATGATCTAATGTGCTAATCTGAAATGGTCTTACTGATTTGTTTTTCTGTCTGTGTTAAAACCTGGCCAACTTGGTAGCCTGCTCACTTGGCCTTTTGTGTTAAAAGTGAAACGCTACCCAGTTAGAAACTACTGATTGCTTACCGAACCTTTCTGAAACGAAAACTTACGTTCTACTGGAATCCACGTTGTATGGCACGAATAGATGGGTTCTTCTTAAGCGTGTCAAACAGAACGGTCCTGACAACTGTCGCACAGCAAAAGTGTAGCATTTTTGGCCTTAGGACCCATTTCACGTAAACAGACGCATCCAACGATTCGTTCAGCTGTAGTACCCTTTCGGTGCCTAACTGCCATGCCACCCGAAGGTTGCAAGAGGGCTGGGATACTGCCAGATTGCACAAGCCTAGACAGGGGAAGTCGAGAGGCAGAGGTCGGGTTCGAACCACGGACTCTCCGGTTAATCAATTAGCGCTCTAACCACTTGGGCCATCTCGCCCCCCATCCAATGATTGAAGGTGCCTTGTGTTTCACGTACAGGTTCAACGTGTCAGAGGAGTACTACAATCACTGACTTGTTGGCTGACAGCAAAACTGGCATACCGACAGTTAAACGATGGTAATTACTTGGTCACACCAGTTACCATCGTGGTCAGCAATTCAGCGCTTTTTGGCCAACGGACGAATTCCGCTTCGTTTAAACCTCTAGCTTCCGCTCGTTTACGATCGGCCTTAATTTCCCACTACTGTCTAGGGATTTCAAGCCGATGAAAACACAAGAAATATGCTTTCCAGAATGATAAAGCTAAAAATCGTCCACTTAGAAAAAGCGCCACTAACTAGAACAGGTTCTGAGTGCGGTAGTCGGTATACGAACGCAGGTGGGACGATAATGTTATGGTCGAAATCGCTCTTACGAGGCAGACTTTCAGGACATTCCGCTCGAATATACAGTGTATCCGCGCAAACGACCTAAGAAGGATCGGATGCGGACTTAGTGTAGATGTACGGTAAATGTTTGTGTCAAATTCAATCGAAAAGGCGTTGTTAAATATCACGATGTCATAGACGATGTGATTATCTTTGAATTGTGGCTAATCACCATTCGCCAAAAAGTGACCTCACTTCCGTCAATAACTGATATGGATCCATTCGGCGAAACGAGTGGTGCAGCCAGCTGCCCGAAACGACTAGGCGGTTAGGCTAAATCAGCAGCCTTTGAAAGAGGGTTGTGCCAAACATCGCTTATTCTGCCTCATGAACTTTTAACTGAAAATTTTAATGGCGTAGTACCCACATCCATGAAAGATGGACAAATTTGACAGATGCTGTATCTAAGAAGCAATCCGGTACGAAATTCACTCACGCGGATTCATAATGGCTTGTTGTATCATCTTAAGGTTGTTAAAACCTTGTTTTGGTTGCTTTTTCCATCTGATTAGTACATACGGTGATTATGAACCCCTTCTACATTAAACTTACTGTTCTCACGAACAAGAATGAAGCGAAGCGGTAGATTGGATTCCATCACATCGCTTAAACGAAGATTTAAATCGAGCTTCTGGCCTTGTTTCAGCTGACCTTCTTGATCGGCAGGTTGTGCCGGCCAACTTTCCAAGTGATACTGGTATCCGCTGAGTTGACGCAAGTGACGACGACGCACGGCATGTTCGACCACTGCACTAAGTTGTGTGGTTACGTGAAAGCGATATCGGCTGGTTCCTTGGGGTAGATGGCTGCAGTAGATAAAGAAGTTAGAGAAAAACCATATATGAAGGAGTTAGAGAAAAACACCAACAACGTAAAGCTGGAACTGCACAACGTTCCCATACACTCTCGAGTTGCCACTATACAACCCATCAATTTCTGAACCAGCGCCTCCTCGCTTTCCCAAGTTTGTTAGGGTGCATTTATGGATTTATGATCGTCCTCACTAGTTGAGAAGGTCGAATTTAGTGTCGCGTGATTTGTGCTATGCCATTTTGGCTTCCAACCTGCCGGCTTCCTGCGACCGTGATAACGACAAAAATGGACACGAATTTACGGAAAACTGTATCACTAGTACTTTCCAAGCTGCTTTACCGAAAGGTTCAAAGAACTCTCCCTCAGTTTGGTCCGATTTCCGAAGGAGGAACGAAGCTGCTTCAAGGGAAATGGTCACATGTCACAGTAGCGTTGTTGAACTCCTTAGTCCATACTGGGCGTTAAGTGACCTTCGAAGAGCTCCGAAACCCGAAGATTCTCGTTTAACAGTGTGCATACATCGACCACTTCCCAGAGTTTCCACGTTGAGTTTCGCCCTTACTGAAATGCGTTCCGCGCGTGGACAACGTATACGAAAAAGGAACCATGAAAGATCTACCACAAACTATGGAAACTGTGTGTCAGCTTAAAATGCATTTGAGCGAGTGAGTGAGTGAGTGAGTGAGTGAGTGAGTGAGAGAGAGAGAGAGAGAGAGAGTAACTTGAAACTGAAGAGCGAAAGACTCACATCGTGACAAAAACCAACGGGACTTCAGCTGGGACCACCTGTTCAACGAAAGCCAGTGCGTCGAACTCGTATTTGTGAATGGGATCGGAGGGCTCAAATGGTGGGAAGCACGACTCGTCCATATCCGCCGGGGTCTCAAACATGTAGACCGAGATGCGATCCACGAAGTTTCTTCGGAGCAGGACAAAAACAGCATGCAATGTCGGGAGAGATACAGGATCTTCACACAGACGGGTATGAAAAGCGACCAGGAAGCAATCAAGTTTTGCAACAGAGCGGAGAAAAAATATAACGCATTGGGAAAATGCGGAAGTGGAATGGCAAAACGACCGAAAAGGTTTACGTACTTATCAAATCTTTCTAAATCCTTTAGAGGGATTGCCTCCTGATCTGCCTGGGGCAATTCATTAAAGTATTGCCAGAATGATAACCCTACAAACTGTCTGACCGTTGTGCCTGGATTGGGTTGGACGCGAATGGAGGTTTGCGGGAAACCAGAAACACGCCAAAACCAAACAGTGAACTGTCGTGGACCAGAATCACCAACCGTCGGGTGTGGACCAGGACCAATAAAACGACCATCATATACGGCATAATCAGAGAACAGGTTGTTACGCAGCAGCCGACCATCCGCCTTGGCTTGCTCCAACGCTAGAGTGAGGCTGGATTTCTTCGGCTTGAAGGGAGACTGGGCCTCCGGTGATGTCGGCGTAGGTTTCACAGGAAAGTAACGGTCAATTTCTGCAGCTGCAGAGGAAGAGAGCGGTAAGTACGAGAAAAAACAGGGATGTGAATAAGGAAACCATACAAATGGTAAGACGTCTCCCCAGGAGAAGTGTTTTATTCAACAGAGGCACCAGTGTGAGTCTTTATGTGATCCACAATCCGTCGTATGCCCAACTCAAGAACAGATACACCTTCAAACACTAATGTAAAAATTAAGACTTATCCCAAAAGAGAGGGGGAAACAATTTATAGGGAACAACGGGACACCTATTTTACTGTCCATATAAGAATGAAACGACGTCACTAGATACCAGGCTGTGGTAAATAGGTCAGCGATTTCGTATCGGTACTTACTCCAATTATTAGGACAGTATCAGTTAGCACCACTGCACCCCGTTAAACATGGCAGTCCATAGGAGAATAAGAAGAGTTTTATACCAGACATGACATATACAATAACCCTCAGAAAAGCGGTGGAACGAGCACTTCGGTAGGAAACAACGCACTCAGAATGGCTGATTATTCATAATGGTTTATTCGAAGAAAAAAGTACCCTATTTGGCTCAAAATGCCGCTTGAAAACATCGGTTTTAATGGGTTTCAGCTGAACTAATTGGATCACCCTCTTTTGGAAGTACGCGGTGAATGTACAGCGCTATATTAGGGTTTATAGTTCCCGAGTACTGCACAGGACTACAGTGCCGTAGTCTCCAAAAACCGTGCCACACATTTGTCCAGTCTCACATGGCTATGAAAGCATGGGTAAACACGGGGTAAACAATAATGAAGACGTCCCGTGGAATCTCCCAAATGGCTTCTGAAGGACAGGGAAAGTGTTCATTCGCACACCATTCCAACATAACACGACGACTTTACTGAGTCCAAACTCTATTTTTTTTCTTCGCAATAAGGCTCACAGATAAACCACGGATGTACAGCAGCGAGACATCCAAGTTGAACACTGCCGTTATGCTGTCGACGAAAAAGGTGGTGATCGAGCTTGCGTATAACACGTCAGTAGGCACAGAAGGACAAAAGTGCCACACATATTCTATGCGCGGCAGTAACCACGAGACCAAGGGAAAACAAATCTTTCAGGTATATCCTGTGCTCCTCACACATCCTCCCACTGCATTCCATCCTGCAGTAAAAGAAAATCTCAACAAACCTGTTAGAGTTCTGGATTTACTGCTTTGAGAAGAATCCGACTTTGTGTGATGTTCAGCCACCGCGTCGGTTGAAGAACAGGATGATGACAGTAGGTACTCTAAGGGATCTAAAAATACAATGTATGTAAATGGCAACATAGTAATAAAATATTGGAACACACCATCACACTCGACGAAAGGACACTCAGGAGAAAATCGTGAGAAGGTTTCCGCATCTGTATCAATGATGGGTAAAGAGCTACAGTGGAAAGGGTGGATGGAAGTCAGGAGCTGGAGGGACTTACTGTTTTTCGTTCAGGACATCTGACACCGAGTAACCGGGATCCGGCATGCCCAAAAGCACTTCAAGGAACCGAGAATCATCTCCGGTCAAGAAACACTGACGCACAATATTGATTAGCGAATCGGTGTCGTCGAATGAGACCATGTGGCGGAAGATAAGATGGTCAGTATCGGTGAGCGGCTATAACTTTGAAGTCATATGGAGAGATTGATCGACGGACTCATTCAACCATGAAGTGTCAGGAATTAGAGTGGCAGTGAATGTACCGAGGACGTATTGGCTGTAAGGTGAGATGACAAGAACATGTTGGCTAGGGTGGAATGTTCTGCTCGGCTTCCGACCATGTGGCAAAGGGTCGCGTGAGTTAATTTCGGCCGTTTTTCAGTCAACGAACAAAGCACTGAAGTGCAGTGGCTCCAGTCGCTATAGCTTCGTTCGCCGATGAAACCCTAGAATGGAGAAATGAGAGCCACCCACTGGAGTCGGTATTCCTAATAGTTCATTGACTACAATCGCTTTTTGCTGTGGCAGAAACTCAGTGCTGGGCGTTGATGCAAGAGCGCCATTGGCTGCGTGACACAACCATATAAGTCAGGGCTTGTCTAGTCCAGCGACCGCCATCCGCGGAGACGGCCGCTACCAAAACAGCTCAGTTGACTGGTGCTTCGCTGCCAAGCCACGGAGTGGCCATCACTGAGTCGTCGCTATACGATACAAGGCTATGCGAAGAGTGCTCTGAGACACGAAGCACATAGTCAAACCAGTCAACACGGTGAAGTGTGACCAACTGTTGTGCCTTGCTGAACAGTGGCGCAACTCCGTGTCGGTTCTTGGCTTCCTGTTCAACCCACTATGGCATATCAAGAGGCACGGTAGCTTCAGACATCCCTTTATGGAAACAAATGAAGATTATTACAACTGTGCTTATAGCGTAATCACAGAAGTCGCACAAGGCTGTGCTAGCACCTCCGTGAAGGGCGAGAAGCATCCAGCTCAAAATGCTCGATCAAGATTGGCTGACATTCTGACCAATCAAGGTATCCCATCGTTTAGTCCGCAACCCGCACATGACACATCTGTCCAATTGATGTGCTGTTTGGTTATTGACGGCGGCTTGCCTCAGGACTCCAGCTTACCTATTCAAGGAGAATGCAGTTCCTCGGAAACCTCCTGGTGTACCCCGACGGTACTGGTCTGAGGTTCCCACCAAACCCGCGTGCCGCTTCGGAGACACCAATAGTCAAAAACCAAGTCTCTTAATATCCTCCGCACGAGCTTCTTAGCCTCTGATCCATAACGTAGCACAAATCTGTCCATATCATTGTACACTCTACCTCTGTTGGTGAAGCTAATGTCACGTCAGCGGCACAATTTTCAAAGGTTAGCAAACGGTGACCACGGTGCCTATTTCGAAGAGTGCTTTCGAATATCAACAGTCCGCTGCCCAGACAAACTAACCTATGCACCACATCGACCGGTTCACTGGCAAGCGTAAAGTCTGTCTTTCATCCCGCCCAGCCCCGTGGTGACAATTTACAACTGCAATTACAGTTACAGGTGCTAAACGCATACCGAAGTGTGCAGTAGAAATTCCGAATTTATTTAAAACAGTTTGCGTTTCTAGTGTGTCTCGCCCAAAATTTTTGGCGCGGGTCCGGGAGTATTCTGATCCCTGAGATGTTACAAACAGGCATTGAAGAGTACGGGGGCAAACCGATTAGGGATTTAAATAGGAAGGTCAAAGGTGGACGCCACCTGTCAGGGAGGTCGGATTCACGAAAACAATCCCAGAATGCCTGAACATTACTGAGACCCTAAAATTCCACCAAAATTGCAGTATAGAAGCCTCCAAAAAACCGGCCGCTCAGACAGACGATTAGCAATGGCTGGCGACCACGCGTAGACAGGCATACCATGCGCATAATCCTTGCACACACGTATTGATACACAGGACCGAAGAATGCGCCAAATTTCCTGAATCGGGTTCGGTGTTGTCATTTGGCGGCCTTCTTTAGCGTGGAGGGTAGGCAAAAGGGATGTGCCACTGCTCCTTATGCTCTCACGCCTATCAGCCCGAGGGCTCCCATAAAATGGTGTCTAAAAGAACCTTGGACTGTGTATTTGATGCAGTTCGAACAACCACAAATGTGTTCTCAAACAGCCGGCAATTAGTTATTACTCCACGCTATCGGTAACTGATAGCAACGTGATCGATTTGAGTTTTTGCCGGCAAGCCGCTGACTGACACCATATGGCCAGACGAATTCGGGTATTTTGGAAATCAGTACTGAAAATTAACAGCATGTGGCCAAAACCCAGCTGAATCACCTGTCCGCAATTGTCTGTAATTACGGAGTGCAATCCATGTCGATCTCCTAACTGGGTCTCAGATGTGCTAAGTCTGGCCACTTGTGCATTCAAATCTTCTGCAACCATTACGATATCTGGGCATTGAGCTCACTGCAATTGATCATCCATGATGCCGTAAAACCCGCCTTAAATGGGGTCGGAAGTGGTCATTTGAGGTCTGATTAGGCAAGATAAACAGACATCGATAAACTTCCCGCATCTGAGGCTCTTTCACAGACGTTGCCAGACGAACCTCACATGGGCGCCACTACACAGGTATCCAGTCGGGCTAGGATCCTTCCTCTCGGTGGCTTGAGGCGACATAATTCCTGCATATTCGGCCGCAGCAACCACTGGACCACCGAAGTTGTGTGGCCGGAATAGAGTGAACAGCGCTATGACGGTTAGCTCAATCAGTGTGCCTGCATCTTGAATTTATATTTCCGACACGCAGGACACATCAAAGCCAATCGAGTCCACTGTGAAAGCAAGTTCAGCTTGTTGTTCTGCTAGCTTCAGTCAGCTCAAAGTCAAGCCCTAGATCCCAAGACCTCGTTTTTTCCCACACGTACCAAACCACGATGCACAAGGGTGACTCATCCGATATCGGCTGTCTACCGTCTGATACGGTAGCAACAAGTCATGTGCTGATACCCACACACACGCAAAAGTTCCTACAAATAGGATACCAGCACAGCAACACAACTCAACGGAGCCCCGCAATTCACCCAGCTCGGAGCAGAGCCGCTTGGTACTTACGGCGCCTCACTCACGGATTTTCAGGAATACGTGTGGCTGCTACAACAGCGAAGAAAACACGAAACCTGCATCCGGACTCACAACAGGATTTACCGACCTCAATCTGCAACACGATAAGTCCCCTTGTTCGCATACACACCTATTGTAATAATTTTACTCAACAAGCAAACGTTGTTGGTGCTCTACGTTTTCTCGTTCATATAACTCGTTTTCGGGTTCTGTTAAAGCATTAACAAGCAAATGTGGCCAGATAGACAGTGCGCCGAGGTGTGGAGTTTGATTTCGAGATACCTCGGCGTTTTGCGCCATGTGACGAGCAGATGTTGCGCGCAAAACCGAGGAAGACCGACAAAGCCATCAGTCCTGAGCGCTGGGTCAACAAATGGAAGGCTATCAATGGAGTGAGTGTAGGGAGGAAGGAAACGTGGTGGCGTCTTTCCCCTACACACCCTGCTGTATGCAGCATGTAAGGCGACCCGGCCGATGGCACTACATGACGTTAGGTGTGGCATGAGGGCATTGTTAATTGTGTCATTATTGAACGTGGGCACTCCCACCTAAAAAGCGGGAGGATTAAAGTCCTCTACCGAAGCCTTTGGCTCAAAAGCATCAACGCAAGGTAGCGGTACTTGGCGGGAGGTACAAAATTAACACCGTTACCACGGAACAGGTCGCCAAATTTTTAAACCAACAAAATTGAGTACCAGTAGATTGCATTTTACGTATCCACTAACCTGGTATAAGGGATTGTGAGTTTCGTTGGGACGTCCCCGGTATAGCTGAACGGGTCGCCGAGGTGTGCAAACCGTCAAACAGCTGTGAGGCTTAGCCTCCTCTTCGTGGGTTAAGTTGTCTACAAAAAGAGTATGTTTGTCATGCAAGAACATTTTGTGAGGGATCTGTGTTGCGCTGGGGACCCCAAGTTGCTGGCATTTAGTTGGTTTGGGTTGGCCCGCTTAAATGCGTTCCATCGCCTTGAACGGTATGCTAGAAAGGCTAACAGGCCTGAAGCGACCGGATGATATGCTGTTAAGTTATGAAGATCCGTGTGACAATAGCTCCTCTATAAGCGGAGGTTGCGTACCGTACCGGGCGTTTTGGCCTGGAAACTGCCTTGGCAGTTAGGAAGGGGCATAGTTTGACTCTTCCTTATGTGCGCAATCCCGAAGGGTCGGCAAATGTAGATACCATTATAGTGGAGGTTCCTCAAGCAAACGCTTTGCAGGGTGAATTTTTTGAGGGCTCCTCCGGGTGCTGCGTGCGAAAGATTACAAATAGCATTAATACGCTTCTAGCAAATTCAACCTATCGAGCCAGTCCGGCCTCATGAGATCAAGTTCGGAACACCGCTTAAGGCAGGACGTTGCTGCCGCCAAACTATTGAAGCTTATGGAGCAATCAATCCGGCGCAGTCCATTGTCGCTTACCGCCAAGGGCGTTACGATTCCAGTGTTCAGTCGGTCTCACGTGCAGCCCATCAATTTGCCTCTATGTTCGTCACTTGAGCGGTGTGATGTCAGATCCCGTATATGGTTGCAAACGAACTGGAATGTTGTCCATACGAACCGTGCAATGTCCCTCGACAAGCAAAATCAACTTCACCATCACTGAGTCGAACCGACATTCGTGGGCTGGACAGTGGAAAGCGGGTGGCTACCGCTTCCGATGTCTTTGTGGCCATGACGAGTGCACCTCAACTGGCGATAAGGAGCGAGATTACACCCACCACAATGATAAACCTTTTATGAGGCTTGCTCTGTTTTCGATTGGGCTTCTTTGGGACACGTTTTGACTGCGTGAACAGAATTGCTTGAAGTCACAGGTGACTGGTTCATTATAGCCCTGTTGTACTTCAGGTTAATGAGGCGTTGATATTCGGTAGTCGGGCTCTGCAGTGCCATTTCTGCGTCCTTCTCAATTTTGTGAGGCAATCAGGCTCTGTTGTCGTCATCTTTGAATGACTGGAGATCGGACACAAAAATGAGACATAAACTGATTCTCCGTCATTGAGCTTGGCTTGAAGCGCTCGCATTCCG